TCTAAGTAATTCCTACAATTCAATAGCAGACAACAAAACCTGATTTTTAAAAAAGGACAAAGGACTTGAATAGGTGTTTCTCTAAAGAAGTTGTACAAATGGCCAACAGACATACGAAAAGATGCTCAACATCACTAGTTATCAGGGAAATGCAAAACCATAATGAGATATCACTTCACACCTCTTAGGGTGGCCATTATAAAAAACAAAACAAAACCAGACAGTAACAACTGTTGGTGAAGATGAGGAGAAACTGGAACACTTGTGCAGTGTTAGCAGGAAGGAAAATGGTGCAGTCATGTGGAAAACAGTATGGAGTTTCTCAAAAAATTAAAACTAGACCCAGTAATCCCACTTTTAGGTATTTATTCAAAAAAATAGAAATCCGGATTTCAAAGAGATAGCTGCACTCCTATGTTCACTGCAGCATTATTCACAACAGCCAAAAAAGGTAAACAACCCAAACGTCCATCAACAGATTAATGGGTAAAGAATCTCTTATATACATTCAATGGCATATTTTTCCACCATAATAAGGAAGGAATTCTGTTACACACCACAGGGATGCATCTTGAGGACTTTATGCTAAGTGAAATTAGCCAGCCATAGAATGACTAATACTGCAGTGATTCCTCTTAAACAAGGTATCCAAAGTCATCAAACTTATAGAAGCAGGAAGTCAGAATTGTGGTTGCCTGGGGCTAGGGAGAAGGGAAAATGGAAACTGTAGTTCAATGGGTATAAAGCTTCAGTCATGCAAGACGAAGAAGTTCTAGAGATCTGATGTAAACATTGTGCCTACTGTTCACAGTCCTGTACTGTACACTTAGCAATGTGTTAAGAGCACAGGTCTCATGTTATGTGTTTTTTTACCACAATGAAAAACAAATTCAACAGAGCGGTTAACAGTGATTTAAATGCAGCCAAACAAATTTGGCTAATTGAAACATAGACCTAAACATATTATATACAGTAACTGTACTGTAGATTTTACTACAGATTGAAGTGCAGAGAAACAATAAAATAGGGGAAGAAATGAATGAGCGCTTAATTAATACATAAGGAGGATAGAATAAGAAATTTTAGCGTATCTAGCGTACCAGAAGCATTAGAGAGAAGAGAAAGGAAAGGAAATATTCAAAGACATAATGGTTGCTGCATTTCCAAAATTAATGAAAGATATAAATCCACAGAGTTTAGATCGAAACAAATCATACAGCTTGTAGAACAGAAAGGCAGTTGAACTCATGGGAAAAAATGAATGAGAAGTTAAGGCATACGGAGGAGTTAGGGTCTAACATAATCTAATCAGGATCCCAAACGAAACTCTAAGAGACCAAAAGCCAGACACTAATGTATTTTGATGACAAATGAAAAATTCAAAAGGGGAACATTACAGCACTGATCTCTTGTATATTATTCCTAGTCACTGTGCTGAGCACTGGCAAATACAGAACAAAAGAGGCCAAATAAATCAGCAATTAGAGCGCAGCGTGACAGGTCCTGTGACGTGAGGATGCACAGGGCACTGAGCAAACCCAAGGGTAGTGGTTATTAGCCATGATTCCCAGAGGACAAGCTACTGGTTGGCCACCTCAGTGACATCCACTACTTTTACAGTCATCACAGTGAGTTTCAGATCTACGAAAAGAATCGCCAACAAGAGTTCTGTATTAGAAGTTTCAAAATAACTTTAACCAAAGTCCTTTTTAAAACACCCCCGAAAGGAGTCAAATTGATTTTCTTCATACTCATCAAAATTTCATCACAGAAAGCCAGTCTGGGCATTTTGGATCCATAAAAATTAGCATCGTCAGAGTTTTTTCAAAACATGAACAAAAAACTTTCTTCTTGCTCCATTTAAAAGCACATGAGAATAATGGTAATATATATGATCTATATCCACACTGGAACTATCCAAGTATAATCTAACAGAAGACAGGAAAAGAACTATTTCAAATACCCATTCTTTTTCTGGACTTACACTCTTCACAACCTAAAATCAAAACCATTTTGCATAAATTTAATTCTATTATCTGCGACATGGCTCTTCGACTTCATGATAAGTGTTTATTGCCTATAAAATGAATCATTGGTTGTTCTGTTGTGTTTAGCCATTTGAGGCCTCTTAATAATGCACACACAATAATGTACATCGAAGAAAATCCTTCTGAAAAAGTACACCCAGAATATTCTCCAAGAAATCAGTTCTTTCTCACTCTACTATGTACAGTAGTGGTATATAAGAGATCAGTGCTGTAACATCACTCTTTTGAATTTTTAAATTTATTCTCAATATCTATTAGTGACATGGGGAAGGGCATATATTACATACTCCCAAGGATGCAAAATCCAAATACGTTCATGTATGACTGAGCAAATTTGCATATAAACCATAAATGATTTCAATAAAATACCAAGATGGTTTTTTAAATTACCATATTTACTTTAATTTCTAGCAGTAATAAAATGTTTTTAGTTACGTCCTTAATATGCCAAAAGGCTGAAAAGTCTTTCACAGTCATACGAATGTAACTTTTCACATCCATTTTTTAACTGTTAATGACTACAAGCAAATGTACATTTTGAATGCAATACTGGCATTAATCCATTAGCTAACAAGCAGGTTTGTTACTTTATTTCATTGATGAGAGGTAAGGAAGAATAGATAATGACATTTACTATCAACCAGAGAATAAAGAGAGACAAACCAAATTGGTGATTTAAATACCCATCACGGATGGTCCCGCTGCTAAATACCAATAGCACTTATAAACCAATTTAGCTCTATTTACACAGTGTTTTCGACCATACACTGTTTGTTTGGGATTCTATTTACCTTTTCCTGTAAGCTCCTTGAGGGGAGAGGCCTTGTCCTAAATACTACTTCTGTATGGCTTCCAGCTCATAACCAAAGCTAAGTGTATACTTTTATTGATAAATTAACAGCTGTAGTATAATAAATATTTTCCACAGCAATTAGGGAAAAAAATCAGGATGTAGGTAAAGCTCATTGTAGGTATAGTTACATATATAACGTAATGACAACAAGGGGCGAGGCCATAAAAGTGACAGAACTAACATGTTCAGAAACTGAGCCAATGCCTTTTATTACAGCACAATCATTTTCAGAAGATCCAACAAAATTTATCACACGATTACAGCTCAGCTTAAAAAGGCTTTTTTGTCTTACATATGATGCTGCATTTTACATTATTCCTTGGTGCATATTTCTATAATGCTATCTCCCGTCTGAATAAAGTACCTAATTCATACAAGTATGGAAAAAGCTATACATACTATTCAAAACCCAAAAGAAAATAAAAGCAATGTATTTTTCCGCCCTTCCAAGGTTAATGAACGCACACGGGGTTTTGCTAATAAAAACAAAGGTCTTACTTTTCATTCACACTGAAATGACACACTGAATGACAGGGGTCTTTTGAGAGTTCCTGTAGGAAAAATCCTGCACCAACGTGGCTTTAAAAATAAACTTTAATCAGAATCTTCATCTTTTCCCCCTGACCTTCTTCAATCTCTCAAAATTATGTATCAGTTATATTTTTTAAATCAACAGCTATGATGCAAATTAAGTGATAATGGATGCTATCAGCAGACTTATACTATCTTTACCATTTTAAATGCACCACACTAGAGAGGAGAAAAGCATACCCTGACATAAATTCCTAGGTCTTCTAACAATAGCCTCTTCCTAGGATTTCTTCTCCCTTTATATAACGATATTAAGTCACGGCGCTCCCCTGCTCTCCAAGATCAAATAATCTGTTCACACTTCAGAGGTGATTTTGCTGTCTTCTCCCTCCTACCTTTTGTCTAAGAACGCCAAAGGACTTCATTATTGTATTTTACCAACCCTAGGAAGGCACTGGGTACAGCAAGAGCTGGAGAGCCCAACGAGTTAACTAGACAACCAGAGAGACTGCCACCAAAACTTGTCACTCTCTCCACCCCCCCCCCAAAGCTCCTTAAAAGAAGCCGGAAAATCGGCCAAGGCCCTATTTACAGGTCATGAGAGGTTTTGTTGTTTTTTGTTTTTTTTTAAACCGTTCCCCCAGAAGAGCTCGCACACCCATGCACACTCAGTTGTACTTTTCAGAAGGTGGAAACACAACTGATCTTGTTCCCTCGGTTTTCAAGAGTTTAAACACCAGGGACGTCCGTTGGCATCTAGATAAAAACTCCTGAGGGCAAGTTGGTCGGAAACACAGAAAATCCTTCCTTCAAAGGCATACACCTTGTGACACTCCGAGGAGGAGGCGAGATCGCGTCGAACCTGCCCTGATTTATGACCATCGCCTGGAGGAAGGGGCGGCAAGCCCGTGGCTTCCTTTGGCTTTTGCACATTTTGCTGTAACCCCGGGGCCACAGGCAGGCGAAGCTGCAGCTGAAATGCTTCTGCTCCTCCGTCCTGAAGAGTCCCCGCGCCCTGCAAACTCCTCTGCGCACACACACACACACACACACACACACACACACACACACACACACACACACACACACACACACACGCCTCCATCTCGACCGCCACGCTCGTCCCTTCCATCCCGACCGTCCCTCCTTGGTGCCCACGACCCCACACGGGGACACAATGCCACAAACAGCCAAGTCATGGGGCAGCGCGGAGGGGCGGGCGGGGGGAACGCCAGGTGGGGGACGCGGCAGCGGGCTCGTCCGGGACCCGGGCGCCGGCGCTCGGGTGGAGAGGCGGGGTGCCCGGGGAGCGCTGCAGCGATCCGGGATGCCCGCGCTGCCGCCGCCCGCCCCGCTGCCCTCCATCCTCCCCGGGCGGACCCGCTCCGAGCCGAGGGCGCCGCTCGCAGCCCCCCCACCCTCACCCTGGCGGCGAGAGAGGCGGGATGGGGTGAAGAACGGGCTGCGCCGTGGGCGAGGGTCAGGCGGGGCCCCTGCGGCTCGCCGGTGTCCCATCGGGGGGCCGGGGCGGCGCGGGGCCGGAGGAGGGGCCGGCTCCGGCTACTCACATTCTCTGTGTCCCGCTCGTTCACCGTCGGCAATGGCGTCCGGGCCGACATTTTGTGCGGGCGGCGGGGTCGGGCCGGGGTCTCGCGGGCCGGGCGGAGGCGCGCGGTGCAGACGCGGGCCGAGGCCGGGCCGAGCGCTCCCGCAGGCCGCGGGGCGGTGCAACAAGCGGCCGCGGCGCGGAGCAGGGAAGAGGCCGCGGAGG